TAGCATAGGCATAACGTTTGTAGCATCGTAAACCCAAATTTAGCTGTCGGTCACCAGACAGAGAACGCAAAGGAAATTTGGTTTGAAAATAATTCAGTACATATATTTTGGGTTTAATAATGATTTTGAAAGTGAGTGATTTTAAAATCCAAGTTTGTAAATTTTTTGTGTGAGTTGCCTAACCTGCAGATGATGGAGGCTATAGGCTAAGGCTGTGTTTTACCACCACTCTTTTGAGAAAGTCTAAGAAAAAAATAGAAATATTATTGATTTGATTTTTCTTAGACTAAAAAGTGATTTTTCCTAATGTTCAAAGAAAAATGATATGTGTAGTAAAGAGTTGTACTATTCTTGTACTATTAGACACAAAGAAATGAGGTCAATCAGAACTCATAATTTCTCTTTGCAATTTATAAGAATATGTCCCACTTTTTTGTGTGTTACAAGAGCAGTATAACTCTTAGTTATCACTACTCATTCAAAATATATATGTTACAATTTGAAGAGGTTTCCTCTCATATTTTTTGAAAATTGAGAAATAATTAAGTTCTTTAAAAGAAAAATTAATTAAATTTCAATATGCTTATAAACTATATGTTTGAATGAAACTTCCTTTGTGAACTGAGCAATAGTTTTTCTTTTCATTTTTTCCTAATGATTTTTTATTTATTTGTTTGTTTATTAGTTTTTCTAATGATTTATTTATTTTTTATTTATTTTTTATTTTTTATTTTTTTGCTAGTCCAGTTAGGCTAGTCTGATATGGTTAGAGCTTATAATAAGTTGTTTATAAAAGTAGTCTATAGAAGCAACTTATATGAGCTACTGAAAATAACAATTGGTTAATAAAATATTAAAAACTGCTTAAAAGTTAGTTAATGTATCTTGTTGAACTGTGCTTAATTATTATCATTAAAACATAAGAAATATATATGGTATATAAACTAAAAAAAGCAAAGGATGTGTTTAAAAGTGCTTTTAAAAACATCTTCATGTTCATTCTAGAAGTATCTCTTTAAAAGCAGAAGCAATTTCAGTAAACATACCAAAAAGTTTTCACCAAAAACTATATATTATTTACTTCTTAAAAATTTTAAGCAAAATCACCATGAAAAAAGCAATCCGAACTGGCCTTTAGTCCTACGAGCCTAGACAGTTTTTTGTCCTTAATTGCAGAGAATCTTTATAATTCACCAATTAAATTTTTCACTCAGCGGACCAATTGGGATACACCATTAGTATTAATGCACCTAACTAATTGTAGACTTTCTCTACAACTAATATTGCAGAAAATCCGGATCTAAAAATTGGGCTCATGGCCCAATCCTTTTGTAACTTCGGACACATGCATTTCTGTACCAAAAAAAAAAAAACTTCGGACACATTGAGAAAATGCACGGATCTGAAGATGCGATTCATGGAACATTCTGTAGCCTGCAATTGTAATTACATGCAAGCGAATTGGCTGTAACTGTTATGGCATGTAATTGTAATTGAATTTTTTTTAATGAGGTTATTTTTAGGTTTTGCGTCCCGTAGATATAGAAACATCATGCTATAGTTATGTGTCTTCATCCACCTATTGAACTTGCATACAGAAGAAAGAAAAATTGAGACGGCAAAAAAAAGTTGAGAGTAGGATTTGAGAGATTAATTAGTTATAATTATTGTTAATTAGTGTGGGAACCATATGCGGCTTATACTCGGAATTCGTCGGTAATCATATTGGCGGCTCCATCTCATTATATCTCTTTGTTTTGTGGTTATTCTCTCTATTTTTCGTTCTTCATTATTTCTCTGTGTGGCTAACAGTTGCAACATAAAAGTTGTTTCTAAGGCAGTACGGATTTGAGATTTTGGCACCGAAATACTCTGAATAACGCTTTAAGGCTGAATTCAAGAAGAATGCACGGCAACTCTGCATCCATCATAAAACATACATGAGACGGGTGATTAATTAGATATATTTTTTGAGAAAAAGGCTTGTTAGATTTATAACAGTAAACTTCACTCTGTTCTCTTCCCAGAGCATGATAAACAATTGGCTTTCTTCCATCACTTTTCCAATCATTTCAAATCTCTATCCTCTTCCTCATTTCAGTTAGACTGGCACCACCTATACCCTCATCCTTGCTCTGACCTCTCCTCTCTGGACAACCCCTTCTCAGTTCAAGAGATCAAGACAGCAGTTTTTGGACTTCATCCAGACAAAGCTCCTGGGCCAGATGGCTTCCCCATCTTTTTTTACCAGACCTTTTGGGATGTCCTCCAGCCAGACATCTTATCCTTTTTCTCTCATATCTTCATTGACCCCTCCAACCTCCACCTTATCGACCTCTCTTATATATTCCTCGTCCCCAAAACACTCTCCCCTGATCACCCCTCAGCTTTCAGACTCATGAGTCCCCTCAATGGCTTGTTCAAAATTTTCACTAAGGTCCTAGCCAATAGGTTAAGCCCTTTCCTATCTTCCCTGGTTCACCCCACCCAATCGGCCTTCCAGAGGGATAAATCCACCATTGATTCCATTGTTCTGGGTCATGAGATGATTCACCAGTGCTTCTCCAGGAAAATAGAAGCATGTATCATCAAAATTGATTTCTACAAAGCTTTTGACTGTGTCAACTGAGATTTCCTTATCTCCCTCCTCAAGGCTAGGGGTTTTGGCAGCAAATGGTTATCATGGATAAAATCCATTCTGTTCTCTTCCTCATCATCAGTGCTAGTTAATGGCACTCCCACAAACCCTTTCACCTGTCATAGAGGTCTCAAGCAAGGAGATCCTCTGTCTCCCATGCTTTTCCTCCTCGTTGCCGATGTCCTTTGTAGAATGCTTCACAATAGTTGCAACCATGGAGACCTTTCAGAGCTACACCTCAAGGGTATGCTCAATGATATCAAATCATTACAATTCACAGATGACACTCTTATTTTCTGTAAAGCTACCTCCTCTGACATCTCCAACCTCAAGTCTATCCTTTACCTAGTTCAAGAAGTCTTTGGTCTTGCCCTCAACTTCTCTAAATCCAACCTCTACTATAGTGGCAAATCTTCTCCTAAGGGGCCACTATTGGCCAACATCCTCAACTGCTCATTTGCATCTCCTCCTTTTAAATATCTCGGTCTCCCTTTGAGAAGAGGCTCTTTATCTAGAGCCGATTGGCAACCTCTTCTAGACTCTCTCAACCGTAAACTCTCTCAATAGAAAAGCAAACATCTGTCGATTGGTGGTAGATTGGTGCTTCTTAAATCAGTCCTCTCCTCCGTTCCGCTCTACTACATATCCTTCTTCAAGCTCCCCTCATGGCTCATCAAAAATATTGACAAAATTAGACGTAACTTTCTACTACATATCCTTCTTCAAGCTCCCCTCATGGCTCATCAAAAATATTGACAAAATTAGACGTAACTTCCTTTGGGGAGGATCTGCTGATCATATCCTCATGGCTCATCAAAAATATTGACAAAATTAGACGTAACTTCCTTTGGGGAGGATCTGCTGATCATATTGCTGGCAATCATCCAGTCAGATGGGGGACTGTTTGCTCTCCTAAAGTTTGTGGAGGACTGAGAGTCCTCAACCTTCATCTCTTCAATATTTCCCTCATCTCCAAATGGATTTGGAAATTCTTCGACAACAACAATCATATTGGAAGGGTTCTCCAATCCTTATATCCATCCAATCTCCACAATGCAACTCCTGTTTATTATTCCAAATTATGGAGAGATGTCCTTTCTTGCTGTCAATTCTTCTCTGGATTCGTTAATTGGACTCTTGGAAATGGTTCGAAGATCCTCTTCTGGGAAGACAAATGGACGGAGCCTAACTCCCTTGCCAGCCTCTTTCCGAAGGCTTACCTTCTTGCCTTCTCCAAACATGTCCCCACTTGTTCCCAAGGTAGATATCAGGGGGATATTTAGACTTGGAAACCCATCATCAGGTGCCCTATTAACGAATGTGATAGAAGTCAAGTACTTAATCTCTTGCAATTTCTGGCAGCTTACAATTTGCAGCCCTCCACTGCAGCGGACAATCCATCTTGGTCTATATCCTCCTCTAACATATTTTCTGTCAAGTCTCTATACTCAATTCTTTCAGACGGAGGATTGCGCCACCAATTCAATGCTATCATTTGGAACAATTTGCTTCCAAGTAAAGTTTAAATTTTCTTCTGGCTCTTGAGTTTATTCAGACTAAAGACCAATGACAGATTAGCTAATCAAGGATGGTTAGGGGACTCCTCTTGCACCTTCTGCAGTTCCCAGGAATCCCATGATCACTTATTCCTTGAATGTGCATTCACCAATCAGATTTGGGCTCCATTCCTCTCTAGGTAAAATATAGGCCCTCTCCCAGCAGGCATCAGGCAGTGTTTAGCTATCTGCTATGACTCATCCATCCGATCTTCAGCTCGTCATCTTTGGAGAATATGTTTTCCAACCATCTGTTGGGTCATTTGGAAAGCTAGGAATGACCGCATCTTCTCCAACTTGTTCAGCACTCCCCAGCAAATCATCAACAAATCGGTTAATTTTCTTATTTTCTGGACATGTGCATCAGCCTCCAAGAAGTCCATCAAACTGAAGCATATCCTCCACTCCTCGGGCATCCCAGACATTCTCCTCCAAGAAGTCCATCAAACTGAAGCATATCCTCCACTCCTCGGGCATCCCAGACATTCTGGAATCAAGTGAAGATAGCAACAGGGAAGCATATCCTCCACTCCTCGGGCATCCCAGACATTCTGGAATCAAGTGAAGATAGCAACAGGCCCCCCTGACCTCTCAGTTTCTCAGCAGGTTCTTCTTGCAGCTTGCAGGCCGAAACCCACTTCCAGGGTTCTTTTTGTTCCATAGTGAACCTTTCTGTTGTTGTCTGTTTCATTCCTCTGAGACTATCCATTTTGCTGTTTTATTTGTTCTTCCTTTTGGTAAGTGGGTCGGAACAATAAAGATGTTTCCTTATCGATGACGACAGGGTCCTCTCCCGATAGTTCACATATTCCATTGGTCCCTCCTACCTTCACCTTCCATAGTTTTGTTTATGTAAATTCTTACACTCCTTATATTTTGCATATATATACATGAACAGTGCTTCTGGCCATGTTTTTTCTTCAAAAAAAAACAGTAAACTTCCACCACGGTGAACTTCTCCAATTTTAGAGCACAACATACTTTCCTAGCTACGTTCTCTTTTGCCCGCAACGCGCCTCTCCTCTCTCTCTCTCTCTCTCTCTCTCTCTTAAAAAAACATAAACAAAATGTCCTAAATGTATAAATAACATTATCCTACCCTCAAATCTTACATCACTAACTTGCAACTTGAAAATGATGGATTCAAGCCCTTTCACATATTGCCAAAGAGATTGAGACATGGGACTGGGTCGGAAGTAGAAACGTATGGAAGAGTCAAACAAAGCTCCATCACGAGAAACTAGCACCCTTCATTTCTCTCTTTTTGCCTTTTTTCTCTTTATTTTTTAAAGGAAGCCTTTCACATCCACATCATATCACAATAAAGAGGGGGGTGGGGGGGGGGGATTTCTTATAGGTATCTCTCTATAAAAATTATGTGAGAGGAAGAAGATCTCAACAAGGGGCCCAACACAAATTTTGAAGTTGGTGGTTTATGTTATTTGTGAAAGAACAATTTTTCAAAACAACCTTATTTCTTTTTTTTAATTTTTAAAATCGACCTTTTTTTTTATTTACCAAAACCGATCCGTTTTTTGCCACGTCAGACTAATCACTTTCCTAAACAGTCGGGGTTGCCAACCCCGACTATTTAGGACATAATTTTTTAAGGTTTAAGGTTTCTAATTGGGGATTAACACCCTCCTAAATAGTCGGGGTTGGCAACCCCGATTGTTTAGGAAAGTGATTAGGCTGACGTGGCAAAAAACGGGTCGGTTTTGGTAAATAAAAAAAATGGTTGATTTTAAAAATTAAAAAATAAAATGGGGTTGTTTTGAAAAATTGTTCTTTGTGAAATTTAATTTACATAAGGAATACATGCTACGGGGATCCAAAATTAAACCCCTAATGAACTTCTCCTATGTATGCAACTCTACTATATCAACATGTATGTTCAGGCGCCTACACGAAAGAGAGATACGGAAATAGGGAGGTGGGATGAGTTGAAATTATTTCAAACTGTGCAGTGCTTTTTGAGCCACATATTATGATTGGGAGGAGGCAGTTTAGTAATTCTTTGCCCCCTATTTGACGCAAATGAACCCTGTACCGTGCGGGGTTCTGATAGAAAATACATTTAGGTGGGATTAGAATTTTAGAGATTGTCTATAATGAGTGTTAAATTTAGAATGTATCATTATCACTCGCTAGATAATTACTGGTTGGGATTAAAAAGTAATGGTTTCTCCACTGCTGTTTTGCAATGAAGAGGATCCAAATTCATTTGTAATATTCATTGAGCTTTTGAGAGCTCGTGATTTGCCTTTGACGTGTTAAAACTAATAGTTTTACATTTGGGGTTTTTTTTGAAAAACTTATTGGGGGTTAAGTAGAATTTTTAAACTCACTGGGGGTTAAGTGAAAACATCAAATTCATTAGGGGTTTTATGATTTTTTACCGTATTTTCACATGTCATGCATGCATAGCATTTTCTCATTGATAAAAAATTGAGATTATTTTAAGTACTAATTAGTGATGTCTTTTTCTTAAATCTAGTTTAAATGAATGTCCGATAAAATTACTATCAACACTAATGGTCCTTCTATTTATATTTTATTAAAACTCTGAAGTATAAAGAGAATTGAAAAGTATAATTTTGTACCTACATATCCGACCGAGGAGGATGAACCAGGTCATACTCTGATTGTGGCTCAAGCTGTAAGTGTTCTTCCAACCTTAACGCGACCCGCGCGTATTGTAGCTTGGTTATATTCCGATGACATAGGTAATCATATAAATTGTCAAACCTCATTAATTTCCTTATTATCATGGTTGTTTTTCTCTATTTTTTTCTATACTTGTAGTAGGTTTTTGTTGTGTTTCTAATAAAATAGTCTTGATACAATATTCTGATTGCATTGATGTAATTTTTATTGCATTGATGTAATTTTTATGACTGAATATTCTGAGTGCACATATAGAATACTAATGATAGAACTGATATAATATTCTGATTGAACTGGTGCAGTGATAATCAATGAACTAAGAAATTATTCTAAATACATTTATATTAATTCCTAAGGAGAATTTTTTAAAAAGACTATTTTAGAAAAATAATAAGCAAAATTGACCCTATTATGAAAATATTTGCAATATCGACCTCTTTTTAGCCAAGTGGCCAAAAAAGATCGAATTTGTAAATTATTTACTTTAAAATACATGGGACTAGTAGCCCCATGTAATTAGTGGTCGCTAATCATGGTTAATATGAAATGATCGTCTCGTGTACTTTGTGCTGAAATGCTTAATGTTTAATTAATGAGAATTAAATAATAGTCATGTGTATTTTAAAGCTAAATTTTTGCAAAGTCGAACTCTTTTTTAAAAAGATGTCAATTTTATTAATAATTTTACAAAACGATCGATTTTGCTAATTATTTTTTTAAAATAGTTTTTTTTTTAATTCTCCTAACTCCTAATTATTGAAGGATGATACTGAAGTACATATATCTTTCTATAGGGAACCCTCCCTAGAATTTTCCTTTTTTCCATGATGAGGAAGAAGCCAAGTCTTGGGGAGCCCAATTGAGTGAGACACATCATCGCTATCACGAGGATTCTCTGCACTTCATGCTCACATTAATCAAGTAGCCCACATGATTGGGCATAGGGCAAGGAAAATGATGAGCTCATGAGGTGCATGGATAGTGATGCTTGTC